TCCACAGATCCAAATTGCGTCAACAGTCTCTCGCAGTACGCCAAGCCTCTATCGGACTTCCTCGGCAGTCTTCCACAGGGAGAAAAGGTTCCTGTACTCCTCTTGCTTTGTTCGTTCTCAAGCTTTTCCTCTTCTTGGTTCGTGTGTAACTGCCATAGGTGATCTTGGTCGGCCATGACTTTGGAGGAGCATGCGTCTCTCACGCGATGGAGTGGTATCCCAGCAAGATCTCGAAAGCCATCTTCGTTGCCGCTGCCATGCCGACAAACTCCCAGCGAGCCTTCGATGTCTTTGCAGTAGAGGTACTACACATAAGGTTAGAACAGAGAAATTTTCTTTTGCTTACACCGAATTTCCCGAGAAGAAGTACTATAACGACGAACGATGCCTTCCCTTTTCTCTCTTCTTGTCTGTTGCTGCAGCTCATGAGCCCGGCTGATCTACTCCTCCAGGCACAAATCTTCACGTACGCAAACGGGGAATCAAACGCACCCACGGCGCTCGCTTTCGACAAGAGCGCTGTCAAAGAGCTCTTTTTCAACCGCAGTCCTGCAAAGGTACCTCTCCATCCAGCCTCTTATGTTAGAACCAAAAAGAAAATCTGGCTCTACTTAATTGCCTGCGTGTGTAGGACGTCGCTTTGGCATCGGTTTCCTTGCGGCCTATACCGTTTGCTCCCGTCCTTGAAAAGCTGGTTCTCACCCAAGACAAGTACGGCACGGTACGGCGCTTCTTCGTGGAGACCCCGGATGACAATGCCTTGACAAGCGCATTGCAACACCGCATTGTGGCCGGGAATCCTCCGGAGCGCGTTTTCAAAGTGAAAGGCAGCGACCACTCGCCATTCTTTTCGAAGCCTCAGTCTCTCCACAGAGCACTCGTTGAGATAGCTCACAGCTAGTCTGGAAGAGAAGAGGACCAACTGAACAAAGTCAAGTAAAAAAATTCTCACTCTCTTTTTCTCTCTCGATCTACCGGAAGGATATCTCTATGCGGCTTCGGCTTTAGCTTCGCCAAAACAAAACTCGTACTTGTCACCCGATCCTTTGGCCGCTCCAAAGTTTTGCTCGATGTCGATGTCCACTTTGACGCCTAAGCTGGAGAGGGAGCCCAGCATCTTTACTAGCATGTCCCTCACGAAGCGCATGGAGCTCTGTCCAGAAGTTATCTTGTTGGTACACGAAAAAAACGAATGTCTACTTTTGAGTACCTTTGCACTTTTCCTGGAGCCCGTGTGGCATGTAGCAAGCTTTACTGGCCACAATCTGACCATGCTTTTGATATACTTTCCCAAAACCTCCTCGTCCTGAGAAAAGTATTTCGAACAGGTGATTTTTTGACACTTGCACTGAGATTGTTTACCTTGCACTCTTCGTGTATAAGCTTCGCAGCGTCTTCTGGTTTGGCCTTGAGAAGAAGTGCCTGCGGAGCTGACAGTGTTGGCACACAGAAGGACGAAACAAGGCGCTTACTTTTGCTAAAGAGAAGGTACTCGATGGAGAAGGAGGTATCTTGTATTGTTCTCGATACTTTTGAATTTCCATGACATCTTTCGCTCTTCCTGCAGACGAAAATTTGTTTTTGACAATTAGGAATGCAGCTATTTTACCTGCATTTGCAGCACAGACGAGGCATATATCGTAGGTAGTAGGATGGAGTTGAACGTCGTTGAGATGGAACTCCCTTGCAACGTCGAGAAATACCACTGCCCTTTTGGTTTTCATCCCTTGCCTGAGACGGAACCACACGTTAGAAGGAAAAGAAAGAAAGTCGGTTCCAAACTTTATAAACAGATGTGCTGAATCGGCATTTGGCCTCTGTGAGTTCTCACGCATGTGCCTCAGGATATCAAACGAAAGTCCAATATCAAACTTGTCGCTGGCGTATTCCTACACGAAAACTTCGCTGTTAACCACGTATCAAACAAAAAACATGCTAGATACCAGCAACTTGTGCGACGCCTTAATGTCGGGAGTCAGGCCGAATCGATTGTACCTTGTGAAAACTCGTAACGCTGATAGAGCAAAAAAACGATGTCAGATACACTCCACATGAGAATATATTTCGCACTCACCGTACTTTGGCTCGTTTATTTGGGTGAATGCTTTCGCTACAAGCTCTGATATATCTGCGTTGAAGTTTCGGAAAACTTTGAGCTGCGCGGCCCTCTGTACTACAGAATTGTCAATAACCGTCAGAGAAATGATAAAAGAGAAGCACAATTCAGCTGAAAAGTGAGGAACTTACGAACTTATGAAGCCGCTCCAAGAGCTTGAGGCAGAGATTGATATCGGCTCGAGTTTTACACGCATGGAAGAGCTCGAAAAGATCAGCCTTTGAGAAAGTGTCTCCTTTCGACATCTGGAGCATCATTTTGTCATACATTTCTTGCACGGCCTCGGTAGCAGGATTTGGATCCGGGATAATCAAATCCTTCTCTGCAAAATCATAGTTAGTCACTCGGGGAACAGAGAAAAACATCTCGTAAGAACAAAAGAAAGATTCACAAAACCTTCGAATTTCGCGTATTTCTTCTTCCTCTCCTCGCGAGTCAAGGGAGCAGCGTCTTCTTTAGTCTTAGATCGCGTGCCTCCTGCGATCGACGAGCAGAAAACGCGAACATTGCCTCGCGATCGCGGTATAAACAGCTTACCTGTAGCAGTAGCGAAATGCGCAGCAATGGAGCGAGCTGGGAGCAATGGCGAGCGATCGCAGCGACGGACCAGAAGCCGCATTGCCTGGCGGAGCGCCATCGAGGCCTCGCGCTAAAACCCTAAAATATTTTGGAGCTCTGGAAATTTTAGGGTTCTTCGTCGATTGTGTAGGCAGCGCCATGGTTTTCAAGGGCGAGGTGGAATTCGACTTGGATCCGCCGGAGAACTTCGATCCGGCAGATCCACACGGCGACCCCATCGCATTCATCGAGATGCGCGACTGGATTGTAAGGGAGAAGTGGATTGGGGTTGAGCGGGCAAAGATTTTGCGGGAGAGGTTGAGGGCGTGCTACCAGCGCGAAGGCGTCAATCACCTCAAGAACTGCAGAAAATGGGCCGTGGCGTACCTCGATGCTGCCAAAAATGCTGGATGGGGCCGAAGATCGAATTTCAAAGCCACTGGTCCAACACTCCCAAAGGGATGGAAAGAGAAGGTATGCTATTTCTTCTTTGTTTGTTCTTCCTTGTGTTCTTCCATAGCAACATTCTTTGTTCTAAAGCTTTGGAATTTTTTGTTCTTGCGTTTTGGTTTCTTCTTCTTTCTTCTAGAGCTTTGGATTTTTATTTCTTCTAAAGCTTTCGAAGTTTTCTTCTTCTTTGCTCTGGAGTTTGTCATTCGTTTTCGTGGTTGGAATGGATTTTTTTCTTCTTCTTCTTCTTCTTTTTGCGCGTCTTGCGTTTCTTCTAAAGCTTTTGGTTCGTGATTTTCTGAGCTTACCTTTCACTGTGATTCTTCTTAAGGTGGAATTGTTTGAGATTTTCACCTTTGTTGTTCTTGTGTTCTTTGTATCAACATTCTTTGTTCTAGAGCTTTGGAATTCTTTTCTCCTTCTTTGCTCTGGACTTTGTCATTCCTTTCGTGGTTGGCATGCATTAGAGTGGTTTTTTCTTCTGTCTGTATTTGTCATTCACTTTGATGGTTGGGATGGTTTGGATTGGTTTTCCTTCTTTTTTTTGGTGAGTCTTGAGTTTCTTCTAAAGCTTTGGGTTCGTGATTTTCTGAGCTAGCTTTCATTGTGATTCTTCGAATACTTTCGTTGAAGGTTGATTTCTTACATGCTGGTGCGCATCTCGCAGGAGGAAGAAAAGAAGATGGAGTATGCTTGACACTTTCTGTGCAACAAATAATCACAACTGTGATCGTACGTGCTCCATTCAATCAGACCTTTGATCTCTCATTTTCTATAGATGTTTCGAAAGGAATCAGTTTGTATACACATTGGACATCAACGCAAACACCGAAGAATCACTCTCATCAACACACTTGCAACTCGCCACCAATCCTTGCTCGACATCGCTGTGAACTCTGCTCGCTCCCAGCAGCGTCTTCCACCCCACAACGCTGGGCTCGATCGGCATGCTACCGATCAAATCGCCCGCCTCCTCCATCGTCCCGGATCGCCCAAGCAAATCAACCACGCAGCAGTAGTGATCCATCTGGGGTGTGATCCCATAGTCACTTTGCATCGACACGAAGAGGTTCCAAGCTTCTTGGAGCATCCCCGCGTGGCTACACGCGAACAGATTCGAGAGGAAAGTAACCTCGTTTGAGGCGTAGCCGTGGAGTTCCATGGCTCTCGTGAGATCGCCCGCCACCTCAGCATGCCCATTCTGCGCATATGCCGTGATGAGAGCGTTCCAGGAGATATACGACTTGGTCAATATGGCGTTGAACGCTCGGTGGGCGGTCAAAACGCTACCGCACCGGCCGTACATGTTGACCAGCGACGTCCCCAGCTCCGTGTGCTCCTGGAGGAGCCCGGACTCGTTGGCCGCCGCGTGGACCAGCAGAGCCTCGGCGACAGCACCGTTGACCGCCGCGGCATCGATAATTGCGAGGAATGTGATCTTGTTGGGTTCCTGGCCCTCGAGATCCATCAAAGGGAGCATCTTTACAGCGTCTTCCGCATGCCCATTAGCGGTAAATGCAGAGATTAAAGCGTTGCAGCTTACTGCGTTTCTCTTGGGCATTTTTACAAAGAGCTGTTTAGCTTGATCTAAATGACCGCTTTGCCCGTACGCTACTACCATAGTGTTGCTGGCCATTTGGTCCCATAAGGGCATCCTGCCGTACAGGTTCTCGGCTTGGTCAAGATGCCCATTGTGGGCAAGTGTGCCAACGATGGCGGTCCACGTAATCACGTCGTGCTCCAGCGTGGCATCGAATATCCGCTTGGCCTCGTGGGCACATCCCATCCGTCCGTATGCGGTGATCATGGCCGTCACGGACACCACGTCAGGGCGCGCCAGGGATTCGAAAATGTCCCTGGCATATTCCAGTCTCTCGCAATTGGTGTAGAGCTTGATGAGAACATTGGCTATGGCGGTGAAGAACCCTAGCTCCGCGGCGGCCAGGGCGTGGAGCTTCCGGCCTTCGTGGAGATCAGGCGCGGCGGCGCAGGCGTCGATGATGGCCACCAAGGTGATTTGATTCACCGTCTCGCCATGGAGCAGCATTGTCTTGAAGAGGACGAGCGATTCGTGGAGGTTCCCGGCTTGCGCGTAGCCGGCGATCATCGTGTTCCAGGAGATCGTGTTCCTGTGCCACGACATTCGGTGGAAGAGCTCTCGCATTCGATCGATCTCTCCGGGATGGTGGGAGTAGGCCGCGAGCATCGAATTCACAGACACGCTATCGTAGGCGGGCATCGCATCGAAGAATTTCTTGGGCTCTGCCAGATCCCTGCCCGCCATCGCCGAGATCATCGCGTTCCAGGAGACGACGCTTCTCCAGGGCATGCGATCGAAGAGCTCCATCGCGCTGGCGAGATCGCCACTCCGCAAGAGCAGCACCAGCATCGTCGTCCACGAGACCGCATTGGGCGATGGAATTCGATCGAAGATCCTCTTGGCCTCGGCGGTGGCGCCGCATCGCCCAAAGAGATTTAGCAGCGCGGTGGCGGGGATCACATCGATCTCATAGCCATACGGCGCCATCAGGCACTGGATCATCCGGATCGTCGCCAAGCTCAAGGATCTAATCGAAGAACACGCGTGGAGAAGGCTCACGAAGCTCACCTTGTTGGGCTGGAAGCCCTCGAGATCCATAGCCCGGAAGAGCTCGAGCGCTTCTTCTCCGCGATCGTTCTTGGCAAATGCTGCGAGCATCGAATTCCAAGAGACAAGATCCCTCTCTCGATTCTTCCAGAACAGCTCAAGCGCTAGATCGAGTCGCGCGTTTTGTCCATAGGCTGCGATCATGATATTCGTGGACACAGTATCCGGCCATGGCATCGCCCTAAAGATGGTTTGAGCTTCCAGCAAATGCCCGTTGTGGGCAAATGCTGCGAGGAGCAAATTCCACGAGTAAGATGTCGGCTGGGCGATGCGATCAAACGCGGATCTAGCATCCTGGGCGGCGCCACATCTCCCATACATCTGGATGAGAAAATTCCCCACCAGCGCGTCGCGATCGAGGCCATTCTTCGTGATTGCGTCGTGAATTCGCCGCCCATCGCCCAATGCGCGCGCGTCCCGGCAATCCTTGATCGCGGCGATGCAGTGGGCGCTGGAATCCAAGCAGCGGGGCGCTTCATCCGCGATCCAGCGCCGGGACTGGGCGATCCAATTGACGCAGCAGCGATGTGGCCTCGATCGCGGGCTTCCTCGCATAAAAGGATCGATCAAGGAAGAATAGGTTTTGGAACTTCTTCCATCACCTCCTCGAATCACTGCCTTGATCGCAGCGGTGGACGCTGGATTCTAAGCGCGGCGCTACTAGAGCATGTTCTTCCGTCTCAAATCGTCATAATTCTTGCTTTTATTAAACTCGTGAAAACAATATAAGTTGCTACTCAATCGAGATAAGCTCTTATGTAGTAATGTTCCTCCACATTTCCCGAAACCCAGTCCCAAGAACCACCACTCCGCCTCTCGTTCTGGAAGCATTGGCTGATAATGTTGTGGAAAGCATCTTACAAAACACATAATTAAGAAAATTTCAATGTAAAAACTATCATACCCAGCAGTATCGTCTGTTGGTACCATGGTAATGCGCTTGAATTTTTCTTTCGAGGGGACCCGGCCTGGAAGGACTTGAAGCAGGCATAATCTCTTGTAACATCACCCCCGGTTACAAATATCTGCAGCTGCGACCTCAATTTGAGCTGCTGTGAAGTATTGCACAGAGCTTTGCTGCGCGATCAGGCAAGTTGCAGCTTGGATTGCTTCCATATGCAGGGAGGTGAGAAGAATTGAGAAGAGAACAATGCAAAAGATCTTGCAAGCCATTGCCAAAGAGATATTGCTATACATGAACTGAACGTCTTATTGTATATGTACACTCAGGGCTTGTCTGTTCACGGCACGTAAGCGTGGGAAGTCAAAACACGACTAGTACAGAACGTAAAGTTGACAAAGCCAAGTCTACCTAGAATATACTTGTATATTCCACCAGGAAGAATAGGATAAGCAACAGTTTTTCAGCAATTGCTTTGAATCCTCATTGACACATGCACTACAGAAACCTGCCTACATATCATACCTTCACTAGATTTATTTTCTGCAACATCAAGACCATTGCCAAAGTCCCTTGCTAAGGGATCATCCATCAAGTACTTCTTACATTGGCCGCAAGGAAACTCCTTCCGTGCTTCATTGCATGATTTTAAGAGAACTTTATTCTAAGACAAATCTTATCTATTAAAGAATCAGCCCCGTAGATAATAACTTTCAGATCCATAATGCAAATCAACTCAGTACTTGTTGTTGAATATAGTGAATCACCTTAAGCACATAGACCTATTGTACCAAGTTGGGACACATGAGCTCTATGCATTCACTGCCACAAGTTTACACATAATACTGTCATATATATAGTTAGAATTTAAATAACTTAATTTAATCTAAGCTTTAGGCAAAATTAATTCCAAGTTGCTTGTGGGATTAATGTTGAAGTACATTCTTTGGGATCTTAAACTTGGACCACTGTTGTTTCCATGGAACAAATCCAGCCTCACCACATTCATCCTCTCGTTGAGCCAATTCCTCCTGTCAATCTGGACGTAAATCCTCTCCAGAGCTAATAGTAAACAGAAAATGCTTCACTTATCAAATGCATGTACAAGCTATTCCATACTAATATTCCATGTTCCTGCTGTTGCTTTCATCACCTTACCACCCTCTCTTGCTGTTCTAACACTCCTCCTAGATCTAATAATCATCTTTAGATTGCATCACATCTTTGGTATTGAAGGAAACTCCCCCTAGGTGGTAAGTTTGAGTTTATACTACAATTGTTCAAGTTGTTGAACCATGATTGTTGTCTTTATCAGAAGATCTTTTGTTATGTTTTACATTGAGATGTACTTTATTTTGATCTCCTAGCAATAGTGTATCTATTTATAAATATAAATTTCAAAATATTTAAAACACTTCTTCAATTAAACTTAACTATAATATTTGATGGGTGCCAAATAAGCACTTCCATAAAAAATCTAACTTCACCACATATATATTTTCCTTATATTACTAAAAAACTTATAATTAAGATGAAAGTTTTATATTTTATCATCATACATCTTTGGAAATAAGAATTTTAGAGATAACTATTTACTCTTTAAATTTAATTGAGATATTTAATCAGTTTATTCATATTATATAGTAATGTTTTACAACTGTAAATTATAAATTTATTCCTTAAAGCTTAAACAAATTTATTATAAATTTATTTAGAAAGGTAAGTCTGATAAACTTATTTGCACAAACTAAAACAAAAATTTAAATTTTTTATGATAACACAAAACTTACATTCAATAATTTAAAAGATTTTATGGTATGGTAAAGGGTGATGATCTTATACAGAAATATAGTTTTAATTTCTAACTATAATAAAAGAGATATAAAAACATTTAATACAAAATTCCTAAATAATTCTTATACATAATTTATTTTTCAAGAAAATAGTTAATTTTACTTATGGAAAAAGCATAAACTAATAATAATAATAATAATTTACTAAATTTAATTTTTAATAATGTTTTTTAAATATATTTCATAAATTTCATAAAATAATTAAATAATTGAAATTGTTTTTACATAAAAATACCTTCCTTAGGATGATATATCATTTCTTTTCCTTTGCAAATTAAATATGATTAATATTCTCCTTTGCAATTGGTTACATATGAAATTAGGCAAATCTATATTAATCATAAAAGATTATTCTAAACCATAGTAACCCTTTTAGAAATCAAAAGTGATTATTATCTAAATAATTTTCCATTAAAACTTGTAAATATTTTTTTAATATTAATTATATATATGAATAAATATTTTGATCTTGATTAAATTTATTATTGTTAGGGGCTTTCTTTTGATAGATAAACGTCTAGGAAAAGACATTCACAAAATTCAGTATTTAGTAAAGTATTAGGATGTTTAGTTTTTTCTCTCTCCAATTCTCAATCCTATTCATTCATTCTCATTTTTTCTAGATGTTGTATTAAATTAAACTTGGAAAAATCCATTTAAAATAAAAAATCAATAGTGATAGATATTATTGATGCACTCCAAAGTGATAACCTTAACAAGGTTGTCTATAAGACTATTTAGACACCATGATTAATATAACACAATTGTGATATAGTTTTTTGGTGTTGATCATCAGAAAGTTAATTACCTTTTCTAGCTATACATTCTATATATGGATACTTTTTTCTTAATTGAGTTAAAGCAATACAAGCAATGCATTGTAACAATATTTGGTATTTTAACATTCTTATTCAGAGTGGATTCTCTTAAATAATGGTCTAACATTTATGGCTGAGGCATTTTATGTTTAGGGATATAGTACAATTTCACAAATGATTATCATCTGGTGGTTTGGTGGAAAAATTAGTTTAGACTTTAAAAAGAATGATTAAGAAGTATGTACTTTTAGTATTTGGATTGAGATAGTTATTTGTTATCTCTTTGGTATGTATATATTGCAAAGATATAGAGTTCTATTGGTGCTTAAATTTTTATATGGTCATAGTCCAATTTTACTAATGGAGTTTAATTTACTTTTGCAGTTGCCATAAATTATTAATGCTAGGTTCCTAGAATTAATATTTAAAAATCATTCTTTCATTGGATCAAGTGAAATTTATTAAATACTTGGGCATATACAAGTGGGAGAACAGCAACACTATAACTCTTGTTATCATTTAATATATTGTTTTTCTAAAGGGCTTCTTGCTTAAAAAAAGACCATATTAAGTGTTATATCAAGTTGGACTATAAATTTATAAATGTTTAACATGTTGATCCTCTTGAAATTGTATATGTGATATGGCTAAAGTGTTTCACATAAAAAGATTAGGAACATGCACCATCTATAGAGCCATTAATACCTCTTCCTAATGTTCTTTTAGATTCTGGCCTATCAACTAAAGAACTAAATTTTTTTCCATCCTTTCAAGAGGAGGGAATGATATGAGGTTCAACTATAATGTCATATGTGGGTTTTTTTGGCTAATTTAATATGCACATTTTTTTATTCCATGCACTCACATCAGTTATTGAATATATTATTTTTTATTTATTAGTTTTTTATTCTTAAAATAATTCAGAAAAAAAAGCAAACCAATATTCATACATTTATATGGCCCAATGGCTGATTAGTTTAGATCATACAGCACAACTGGGACATGGTTTCTAGTGCTGATCATGGGAAAGTTGATCACCTTTTCTGGCTCTGCATCCCATCTGTTAAATACATTATGCTGTTAATAGAATGTTTAACTAGAAAATATATATTATACTTGAACTGGGTGACCAAATGGTGAAGAAACACTGCAGTCTGGACTTTAGCAAGCTCTTGGCCTGGACACAATCTAGATCCACCACCAAAAGGAAGCACATAACTTGGTGGAATGTTTTTCTGATAAGTAGCAGATTAAAACATATTTAGTGAGAAATCATAATCTTTACCTCTAGCCAGCGCCATGGGTGGAACTTGGCTGAATTTGGAAACATATTTTCATCAAAGTGGATGTTGAGAAAATAAGGAAGCACTGTCCAGCCCTTGGGAATTATGTAACCTTGAAAGAATTTCAATGGAGTGTTAGACTGGTCGATTCTTAAATATATGTGAATTACCTCTGTATTCCACGTCTTTGAGGGCTTTCCGCATTACTCCTTGAGCTCCATTGGCAAGGCGAAGTGTCTCGTTAAAAACCTGAGCTTGCAGTTAATTCTGTATTAATACATAATTTAAAGAGCAAACTTACAGCTTGGGTGAACTCTAAAGACATGTATTCATTCCAAGAAAGGCCTTCGCTTGGATCTTTCCCCTTCCTGATTGCAAGGTTCTCTTCCTGCATTAGAAAGCTAAGGATCTAGAGAATCTTGGAATGGAAGTTTCTTACTCTGATTTGCTCGAGTGCTTTGGGAGTTTCTGATAAGTTTTTCACAGCCAAAGCAATGACGACTGCCGGAACATTCTCTGCATTTGCAATGTTGACCAGAACATTGTCAATTATAATCTTCTCCATATCTCCATCTTCTTGTTTCACTTCTTCGATCAATGCGTTGAGGATGTCCTTGTGTTCTATGTCTGGCTTGGCCCTTCGAGTAGCTACCATATCCATTATAATCTTGGACAGCTTCTCTCTTGCCTGATTTGAAAAAATAATTCAAGTTTTGAAATATAAAAAATATAAGAGTACCTTCATTGCTTTAAAGTATGGAGTTCCTGGAATCATCATAGGAATACCAATGATCCCCGCCATGAGAGTGTGGAACTCTTTCAATATGGTTGTGGAAAGCTTGCCGGGCTCCAATCCAAACAATTGCTTCATCAAAAAGTCGTGGGTGATCTGAAATAAAAACGAAAGGATTTGTGATCAAACTTCTGAGAAAATGTTCAGGTAGTAACCCTTTGGATCTCGTCCTGGAGAAGAATCCTTTGGCCTCTGCTCCACGTACTCATCCCTTGCATGGTAAGGAGCTCCATCTCTCGCGTGAGATGCTTCTTGAGGGGCGTGGAGCTCACAAACCTCTTTAGCATGGCGTGCATTCTCTTTTGCAAGTCACCGTGCTGGAAGAGCATCGCGTGCTCGCCCAGGACATCCTTGAGCGATCGGGGATAGCCCGTCTCGAAGAGAACACCCTCGTTGTGGAGAACAAACTTGACACCCTCCACATCAGTGATCATGACAGTCTTGCCCGTCAGCAAGCTCGTCTTGAACACTGGTCCATACCTGTTGATCAATTCATTGCGAGAGATTGAACAAATTCAAGGTGCTAAATATCGATGAAATTACTTGCTCTCTCTTTCTCTTGTGAAGCGAAATGGAGTCTCGGATCGAACAATTGTCACGTATGGCACCAGCTCGCCAATGAGCGGCCATCCCATGCTCCCGGGCGGGAGCCTCTGGAGCTTTCGGAATCGCCATGACCTCCAGTAGACGAGCGCCGCAAGCCAGAAAACTCCAGCAACTCCTGCCAAAGACGTCCATGCCCAAGCAGTGGAAGAAGAAATCATCGTATTCTATCGATCTTTTCTCGTTCCTCAGCGACCCTCTATATTCAGTCGAAATATATCCATTGTCCTCAGCTGCCAGTCCAGCGTCAAACTTTCAAATCTTACTGCAAATTGTGGGTTTGAGGCTTTCAATGTTTCGTGGATTGCCCAGTTCCCCCGCTGATCTTTTTGCAAGTCAATTTGATGATCTTCTAGCTAGAAACTCGCTGTCAGATTGACTAAGGTTTAGATTTATCGTTTTTCTATGGGAAAAGAAAAAGGGAAACGCAAATAACAAAGCACTGTAATAAATGGCGTGATGTGATGGAAGTGGCCAATCATGATCAAGTGAGGCTGTAGCATGTGTGTGACAGTGGGAAGAGAAAGCGAAACGTTTTCCTGGGCGGGAGTTCTCAAGAAAGAGATAGCACAGTTCTTCAAGCACTTAGCAGTGGAACTTTCTACTGGTTTGTTGGGAAGGATTACCACATTTGCATTGTGGTAGCAAAGCATGGTGAGGATCATCACCGCCAGCTCAGGTGAGAGGACTGTTGGGCTTTCTCCGTCAAGTTCTTAAGCTAACTCATGATGGATATAATTCAGTTGGCAAAACTATTAATGACATAGAGGGCGATGTTTTTTTTGGGAGGGGGAATTTTCAGGTGGGGCCCCTAAACACATAAAAATAATCTCTAAAAATATCCAAGAATCTCTCTACAGCTAGATTTTTCTTGTCTTTTATAGGTAATAATGCATTGGGATAATTTATTTTGGGGGAAGGGGGGACCTAGGCCCCTCCCCCCAAAATTCCAATGCCATGGTCCCCCCTTCCCCCAAATTCCAATGCCATGTCACTGATAGGGTGCATGAAACAAAAGACCCCACTCTTAGGGAAAATTCATTATAGATTGTGTGCAGTGAGGTAATGCAAGCAACCATTCTCACTTTTCAGCTGAGACATTGACTTTAAAAGGATCTGTGACAATTTCAAGTTCAGTATTAGGAGCATTTTGTATTTATCATTTGTATTCATATGATTGTTTGATCAGCCTTTTACTTTTTGTTTTGCATGAATCCTAAATTTATTGGTTTAGAACTTTTGACCTTTTTAGTTTGCTTGAGGCATATAATTTTTTATTTTTTTCAAAGAGCTGAAACATTTACAGGTTTAATGATTTTTACAATCCATTGATTTTTCCCATGATGACTTGGATGCTAGATCTATGTGATTATTTGGTATTCAAGTTTGAAAATTGTGGCATGCAAGGGTCTAATTTAGAACTGAGACTGTTTAAAGGTTTTCTTCATGCCCATTTAGACATGATTGCAATCCAAAGGCCACTTTCCTATACTTAGTTGGGTATGTAGTTCTAGGATCATAAGATTCATTCAATGAATCAAACAGTAATCATTTCTCAAATACTAGCCTCTCTAGCTCCACCTCATATGGATGGGGCATTTTAGTGGTGGAAAGTGGGGGGAGTACCCACAAAGTTTTTGGGCCATAATGTTTCAAAATGTTATTCCAAAATTCTTAACCATATAAAAGAAAAAGAGTAGTCATCTTGCTTAGTAACTAAGGAAGGTTAGTGGGATTTAGTGGATGGGCTTCAAGCCCTAATTCAGTAATGGTATTGGTGAGCATTGCTATGGATGCTTATGTGTTTTATTATTAAGTATATTTAGCTTAGCTTTTGCTCTGTTTTGCATTAGTTTGTCAAGAACCTCTGCATATTAAGACTAATCCCTCAATATCACTACATAATAACTTATCGTATTTGCTAAATATATTAGTTCCATTTGGTGGTTATTTACAAAAAGTGTCTAAATCTACTAGTTAAACATATTTATAGAATATAAAGATTGTCTTAAATAGAATGGTGTTGCTTTTCCATCTGCAATTTAGCACCATTTTATATTTAATAAGTTTTCATGATTTTTAAGATTGGGGTGAAAGCTTAAAGTGTGTGTTCCTCAGAGGGGGTAGGTTCCAAATATATAGTAGGGATAGTGAGTAGGTTAAGCATGACCAACTAACTTAGTTTTTGGTTGTGTACTTGTCTTTATTTTATGTTTGCCTTGGGTCTAAGTCTAAACTCCATACTATATTAGCTAGAGTACTTATATCCTCACGTTAGGCTATTGATATGGTGAAATAGTGCCAAAATCTAACTCTGTTTGGCTCCGTTTTAAATGTTGGTTTTAACATTGGGATATTAAATATTCTAGGACTATTCTAATGTCACTTCATGCTCTTGTCTCTTTACTCCCTAGGTTGTACACTTAGAAGTCATTTAATGCTCTACTATATTTCACTTCTTGGTTACATACTCAAAAGTTTGGCTCCATCCCTTTGTTTAATGGCCTAAGGCCTTGAAACTTGGGTTTCACTCCACTACCCTTGGCTTATGTGTCCAAAGGTTATAATTCCACTCTGTGGTAATCTTATAGTAAATCATAAAAACCACATGTATTACATTTTAGGTGTCTAAAGTAAGATTGGACATATGGAACATTTAAACAAAGTGCTCTGTTGGTGTGGCTTTGAGATCACCTCTAGAGACTAGCAAATTCCCTAAGTCAAAATAAAGATTTATAGAGGTTATGAGTGGGACTCTTCCAAATGGTCAAAAATATCATTAAGTGATTAAAGTATAATGGAAAATTTAGCCATTTACAAGTGTATTGAATGGGTTGAGCAAGATATATTAACAGAACTTGGCATGACTATAGTTAAGGATTCTCTCATCGTAACTACTCCCAACATCACTTAACCAGATAAGGGATAAGTTACTTTTCAAACTCTAGATAAAACTTTAGTGCAATATCAAAAACTCATTTAGCAATAGTAGTAGATATAAGACAAGATCCTCAAGAAGCTAAAAGTCTTACGCTTGCTAGATGTTATGCCATCCCATCCCCTCATATTTTGTTCTCATTACAAAGCTCACAAACATCCAATTGAGGTGTTTAACTCTCTATCTTGAGCAACAGCCAATATACTTATAACAGCAAGTCCTATAGCAATATGGTCAAGACTCAAGATGGTTATGAACAATTTCTACAATTATTGATAGTATGTATACAGCTATTATTAGGAATGCTAAGAGTTATACTTTGGCTACTTAAGCTTCTCAAGGCTCTATCAACATGATTGATAATCCCTTTTTCACCGAAGATTACTTGTATTCCTTGAGATAGTTATCAACACATTGCTGCCTAAGCTTCATACCATAAATTGCATCATAGAATTTGTTAAATAAACCCCTTATTTTCTTAAATTTAATCAAGATATATAATATTTTTTCAATTAATAATATTTTATATCATATTTGCTAATATCATCATATTATTTAAATAAATAAGTATATAAACTTTTAACTATGATTAAAACACCATTAGTAACCCATTTCATTATTACTGAGAAAGCTTCTGTAAAAGTAATTTTTGTATTAATATAAAACTTATATCTGTGAGGTTCAATATGTCTACAATGCCATATACTAATACTAATGTAGTGGGATTTTAATAACTGTTAGATTGGTTTCAATTTAAATTACTCACTCATATATAAAGCTAGGGTTTTTGGGCTAAATCTAACTTTTGCATAGTCAAGAATCTCACTTTCTTTATAGCTTTTTTAGTTTCTTCTCTTTTTCTTTTGTTCATCTTTATGGTAGAGTAGTAGCTTTAACTTTGGAGTAGTAGTTGGTGCAATTACTCAATGCTTTGTGGTTGTAATTTAACAATCAAACTCAGTTAATGATAGCATTCATGACGTATGGTACAGCTCCTATTCTTACTACCAATTTTCATGTTCGAGTAAAGTTTTTTTGTAAGAATTTTAAGGATGATATGTATTATTAGTTTGATCACTTTATGGTGATTACTACTTATCATTCTTGGGATGATACTTGGCATTTATGTGAGTTTCCCACGTGTCTCCAAAAAGCGATATTGCAATGGTACAATGGTTTGAGTGTAGTTATTCATGTGGATTGGAGCATTCTCCTAAACATCCTTAAATGCACATTTGGACATGTTAACAATTGTGATAATGCCTTACAATAATCACATTATTTTTATCAAAAGCTATATAAATCATTGATGCAATTTGGCATTTACTTCCAAAGCTTTTTGCTTTGTGCGAAGCATTAGAGTAGATCAAGTTGGGAATGTTATGACTAGCACTTCGTCAAAATCTTGTGGGACATGTGCATATATTTACTCTAACCACCCTTAATGTTACTCTTTGATTAACATAATATTATGAGAAATCGCCTCTTGCACTTCTTACTATAGATCCTTCAACTCCACTTGTTGTGCAAGATCGTACTATTTCAATAGAAACTAATGCTACTACTACTTGTGTATAAAGACAAGAGTGAGGATGTGGTCATGGCTGTGATGTCCATTGTTGAGTATGTAATAAGGTTAATTACACATATTGGCATTATTAGTGTTTAGCATCTTCAATTTCTCAAGTGGAAGCCTTGGCATCAATGTTGTTCTATTGGTATTGTTGTAAGAAACAAAGAGTTGTATGAGTAGTCAAGGGTTTTTGCATAATAAGTTAGTGACCCCTTCATACTTCTTTCAAGAGTATTATCAAGGGGTTCACTCGGCATCAATTTATTTAGTGTTTACTTTCCAAATTCGTTTTGAGAATAAAAGGCTTCATATTATTTTCTCTTTGTTGGTTGATACAAACTTGAGATTATCTTTTATTGCTCGACTTATTATCGCATGTTGCCATCTATAGTTATATCGTGTGGTAGAACTAGTTTTCATTCTTTATGGCAATAGCCAATATATATATGTGCACGGGATGAGATGGACTTAATTGTGCGTATGTGAATTTCGAAAGGTTGCGGGTGGTGCTAAGTTAAGCATTCTTGGTATGGATTAGTTGTAATGCAATCATACTAAATGTGACTTTGAGGCTTCTCCCTCTTATTTTATACTTCCTTATATTTTTTTCAATCCTCTCACTTTTGTTCTCTTTTATTTCTCTTCTTTTACTTTTA